CATGATGATTAATGCATAGACATTGATTAAACCTGGCTTAGAACACGAACATACGCAATGAAGATCAGCTTGCTACTAGTATGAGTGATAGACTGGTGTGAATGTTTAATAAAATACACTTGAGTTTGAAGCTGAGGAATAGCTCAAAGAAGCTATATGACAAGGGAGTTATGGAAAAAAGAAACAGTGATTAAAGTAGTTTTAAAAGAGTGACTTAGGAGGGCTCTCGTACTGAGTGATCAAAACCAGTGATCACTGTAGAAAGAAATAAAATAATTTAATAAGGTGGTAATGTTTGAACATGTATTTCTCTTTTCACGGCAACTTCTTGAGAGACGACTTGGTATGCAAAGTAGATGAATGACTCGGGACAGGAAAAGAAAAAGAGGAACTTGGGTTTCCTGTCTGACTGTGTGAGTGAAGCTTGCACTGGAGGAGACACTGTGACTGTGTGGCGTTTAACAAGACTTTCTGTGTATTTAGCAGGTGAAATTATGTCAGTTGACTTCAGAGTGCCAGGACCTTGAAGAACTTGTGGCAAAATGTTCTGTGTTTAAGATTTTTGAGGTTGTTGTTGTAGTGATGGATTGATTCGGTCAGTTTGTCTGAGAGGGGCCCATGATTTTTGTAACAGTGCACTTAGAGAAAACTTGTCAGGTGATTTTGTTTTGTGCTTTGATGAGCTAATAATCAGCTCTCTTTTTCTCATTTTTGTTCTAAGCAGGCCTGCAACAGTGAATAACAGCGCTGAAAATTCTCGGGAGAACAAACATAAGGTGGGCTTTCCAGATTACAACTGAAAGCTACCTGTGGGGACCGGATTAGGTCTAAGTCCCCGTCTAAAAGGATTGTAGCAATTCAATCCAGTCAAAAGCATAAAAAACTAGTTTCCTAAAAAAAACAAAAAAAACAAACAAAACAGAATAAAACAAATGAATGAGCTCATGTTGCTGAGAGTGCAGAATCTGATTATTTGCGCGGGGGTCGCCACTATTAGCAATACCTGGTGTGAATACGTATGAATGGATCCGTGTTTGGACGGTGGAAAGGTTTGGCTATGTCAGCAATGGTTTCATTCGCTACACTTTTAGGGATACTGGTCACCTGTGGTTGTTGTGTCATTCCTTGTGTCAGAGGATTCTTGGTAAAACGATGGCTAGGGTTGCGGACCCTGGACGGGTGGATTCAATCTACCTGAGGAACTTAGATGCCATAGAGTGGGCTGAGGAGTGATACAACACGAGGTGTGGTGACATTCCTTTTTTGGAATGTCAAAAGAGGGAATGTGGAGATATAGAAATTATTTTATTCCTGCCATACAATCTGCATCATTATACCTGCATTAATATCATTCTTTACAGCATTGTTCCATTTAATAATATTTCGTATAGTATTGGGATTGCATTAAAGTTGCTTATTGAAGATCTTCATTTAAGGATCCTTTTATTATGTTTACTTTTATTACAAGTACAGTTGGAAGTATTTTATACACATTGCATATCTGTGCTTATTTTGAGTTGATGTTCAGTTCATTAAGGGTCTTAAGCTTCACTGGCGTGACTGTCCAGGTGATACATGCTGAGGGAAACTAGAACATAGAAGGATAACTGCAATGCATGCTTACAGTACATATAATACACACACTCTAGGAATGTATCCGGCCTGAGGCCTTAATTCATTTGGTGTCTTAATATATTTTATTCTACTTGGTAACAGACGATCAGAGTCAATAATTTGCCTCAGAGACCCTGAGGGCTTGAAGTTTATTACCTTGTATGGAAGGTGTTATAGAAAGGAGAAGTTCTATGTCTGCTTATAGCTATTAAAGATGTACGGTTAACTGTGACTAATGTCTGGAACCTATTTTAATCTGTCATTGACGCCATGGGGGGGGGGGGCGTGTACCATGTAACATGTATTTTGGTCAGAAGACATATGTTGATGTTCTCTCCGGGCTGTTTATAAACTCATCGTTTGATTGCACTTTTCTGGGGCCTCCGTGGTTTGTGACACTGCTCTACATTGATTGATTTCGCGACAATGGCTGACAACTCTGTCCTCAGACAATCCTGAATAGGCTGCAAGCCGCCTATCCCAGACTCACAGGGCTTAACATGACTGAACTTCACAGTCCGGCCTGTTTAAGCTGGTGTCAGCAACATCTGCACTAGAACCCGAACATGTAGAGGAATGTTATGTTCAGCAATGTGTCCTGAATCTGCCTAAGGCATGGAGTGAAAGTGTGGAGCAAACACAGAGAATGATGTGCTGATTGCTGCACCATGGGTGACAGCGTTTGGTGGAATCAGTGTGATGCTGTGAGGCAGCAGCTCCCTTACTAGAAAAGCAAGTCTTGTCATCAGTTTCATCCATGTCAAGGAACAGAGATATTGAGATGAGATTCTGCAACCAGTGGCAGTCCCATATCTCCACAGTCTGGGCCAGAACTCTATCCTCCAAGATAGCAACATGCACTTCCACAAAGCGAGATTTAGCACATATGACTGAGAACTAGGGATGGGTACCGGTATCCGGTGCCATGATGGCACCGGTTCTGACATAAACGGTAGTAACCAGACCGAAAAGCAGCGCACATTTCGGTGCTTTACTTCGGTGCTTTTTTTTCCTGAGCTGTGATACACTTTAGATTCTAGCCAATCATTTTACATTTCCGAGGATAGTAGGCGGGTCCAGGTACGTAGGTTCTTTTAAGCAGAGCTACAGATTAAAAATGCCCAAGGCGAAGCGGTCAAAAGTCTGGCTGTACTTCACAGCAAAAAATGCAAACTCAGCAGCAACAAGTGCTTTAAGCTGATACTGTGATACTGTCAAAGGAGGTAACACCTCAAATCCGATGAAACACCTGGCGACGCATAGCGTTTTTTTAAAAGCCGAGGAATGCGCCGTATTTGATAGCTTGCTGCGAGATCTCACACCGTGCACATCTACTGCGGGTGGGTTGCCTGTTATGCAACATCCCCCAAAAACACGAAGAGGAGAGTCCTGGCCCCTAGCCCTGCCAGTGTAGCAGAAATGATGACGGATGATGATGGCAGCAGCAGCCGTTCTTCTCTGCGTGAGTAGCTTAATGTTGTTCGTGTGGAATTTACGTTGAGTAGGCTAACCACATTATTACATTAATGCATGTAAGGTGAACTAGCAAACATCATCATAGCTACATGCGGCTGTCTTCTTGTTTCATGGCAGATACTCCCTTCACCGTGGCCAAAAAGGCTAAAATGACCAAAGAAGAAGTGGAAAACAGTTAAACATGAGAGGTTTAGGACAAAGTTTGTGTTTTTTCCATTGTTTAAGCACTGCTTCCAGCCAAGAGTGATAGCATATATGCCCCATAGCTGCAGAAAAGGCTAACATTGTTATCTTTTTACAAAAAAAAACAAAAAAACAGCTGAACATGAGAGGTTTTTGGACCAATTTTGTGTTCTCCATTCTTTAAGCACCGGTTTGAGCACCGTTTAAGCACCGGCACCGTTTCAAAAGTACCGGTTTAGCACCGATATCGGATAAAACCTAAACGATACCCATCCCTACTGAGAACCCTGTTTGTTGAATTAATAAACTGTGAAAATGGCAATATGTCTAGTTTCTAGAAACTTTAATCACAGTTTTTCTATGGGCGCAATCCACATTGTCAACTCTGCCGCTATGACTGTGTGTGTGTGTGTGTTTACAGACCTTGCAGTGAGTTCAAGATGCAGAAGAGGTAGAGGGCAGGAGTGGTCAGGAGGCCAAATGAGAAAAAGACCAGGCCCCAGGTAATGCCGAGCAGAGTCATGACTCCAGCCAGGGAGCAAATGTCTTTCTTTGTTTTTTCAAGGTTATTCTGCCCAAACTGATTTGCCAAATATAAAATGGCATACCAGGTTACACACAATCAAAGTTTGAGACCTTCAATTGTCATAAAAAAATACTTCATTGCTGGTTTTGGGTTTCCAATGGATACACTGATGGATTACTACTTAAATATTTCTTTTAAGACTACAGAATTACCTCTCTGGTGTGGTGGAGAATCAAAACACGTCTGATTGTCACCCCAAACATGATTACATTAAAAAGGAACACCAAGCTGAACAGTACCACTGTAGTCCATATTTTCACGTAGGAATTGGTTATATAGCATCTATTAAAAAAAGAGCAGATCATGTTTTAACCTCACAAACTGAAAAATTAACAATGTGCTCTGTAAAAGACACATTAATGCAGATCTATGTAGTAAAAGCATCCCCAGGGCTACAAAGGAAATAATGTTTCAATTTTAGCAAGTTAGATGCTTGGTGAAATGAAGCTTTCTGATTCTCCCTTAAAAAAAAAACATGCATGTATACAAAAACCCATGTGTAAAACAATTAATAAGTAAATAAGTAAATGTAAACTACTATTCCTGAATTTACATGCTAGCAAATCTTACATTGTAGAGTTAGATGTTTCCAGAGCAACCTGACCATAAAACTTTCTGTCTATGATCACCACCACTGACACAATCACTGCAGGGACGCCTGGAGCCAAAAAAAAAAAAAAAAAGATTATTCACCATACCATTTCCAGATTGATAATGACAGGTTCCTGATTAAATTATTCCACTCACCCCATCCCACCACGCTGAGTTTGAGCAGGTATTTCTTGACATAGATGTTGAAGACTTTGACCAGGAGAAGATATAAGTGGAAACCTTCCAGGGCCATCCAGCTGAAAGTGGCCAGCAGAGAATAATGAAGTAAAAGAGCCATGTATAAGCAAAGTCCAGAGGAGGACCCTGCTGCCGCTGCCTGACTGGGCAGGAAGTGCAGGTTGAGGAGCATCAGGGCAATTACAAGGTTGATGTGGACCTTCATAGAGACATCTTGTCTGAGTTTTCTGTCAAACATAAACATACTGTATCACAACTGGAGAAATAGTAGGCCGTAAAAAGAGAAGAAAGAAAAGATGAAGTGATAAGTACAGAATAAAGAGAGCATTTGCTGTAAGAGATGATTCAGAAAAAGAGGACAGGAACTGAAGCAAATGAGATTACAGGAGGTACTAAAAACGAGTGGAAGAACTGATGAAGATGGGAAGAATATGAAAAATGAATTTATTACCTGTTTGTAATAAAGAGCAAAATGGCTATGACCAAAGCAAAAAGGGAAATACTACAGCCGATCACAGTAATGTGTGTTAAAATCTCTTGGTCTTTCTTTGTGATGGAAGGATCAGGTATCTGTGGAGAAAACACATGTTTATATCATCTTTCACTATTTGTATTATAACTAGGGATGCACCGATACCACTTATTTGGAAACGAGTACGAGTACTTGCATTTCAGTACTCGCCGATACCGAGTACTTAATAAAAACATGATTTAAATTTACAGGTAACAGCTTTAGTCCTATAATTTAACAAAAAAACCAAAACAAACAAAAACAAACAAACAAGGGACTGGTTTGGAATTAAGAGCATTTATTTAAAATGAAAAGCATGTTGTATGCAGCATATTACAGAATAAATAATTATGAAAACAAATTAAACAGTGACAGTGCAACTCAAGTATTGTTTTCAGTTTATTGTAAACTCTGCCGCTTTGGACAACACAAGGGGCATTAATAAACATCCTTGCTATTTAGTGCACAATATTTGAATAAACTAACAACATCCACCAACATAGAACTGTGGCAGTCAGTGCAACTGAGGTAGGTATTAACATCATGTCTAAGATAACTCACTTAATGGAGAGAATAAGTGAGTGGCAGTTTTTTTTTAAGAAAAGTAGCTTTTCTGCATTATCTCAGTCAGACTGTTTCTGTTTTCATCTATAATGTGTGACACTGAGCTACAAAGACTTTCACTTTCCACACTCCTACATGGGGCTGAGAGGTATTTACTCGGCGCCTGTGATTAACCCCTTACATGCCGCTCAAACATAGACAGGTCTCAGACCGTGGTATCGGTCCCCAATATCGGGGGACTTTTAACGAGTACGAGTACTTTAGAAAACTTGGTATCGAGGCCGATACCCGATACCGGTATGGGTATCGGTGCAACCCTAATTATAACAATTAGTCACATTCCAGAAGCAAATACTTTCTTACTTATTATTTTTACACTGTAACTTTAACTTTAACCCATTAAGTTAATAAGTATGCTTGTTATTCCTAATGGTACAAGTCCCTTGAAGACAATGGGGGCAGGGCTAAAAAGAAAGTTAAAAGAACAGCTGAATACATCTGAAAAATAAAATAAAGCATTAAATAAATATGCTACATACAATCATAACAACAGAGGCAAAAGGAGGCAAACGATAGGTAAGCAAGCACGAGCAACACACACAAACAATTAACATGAAAAGCAATACAACATAGCAGCAATACAGGAACGGCATGCAATAACAGACAGCACTGCACACTTCCTGTGTGTGTGATTACAGTGCAAACACTTCCTCTGTGTGAGTGTGGATAGTTTTGGCTGCAGTGTTTTCAAGTGCGGTCAGAGGAATAAAGGTGCAATGATGGGCTATGCCGCAAGCCAGACTGTGCCCTTAGCAGTTGCATGTAACATTGCCATGCTCTGACCAGGGCAGGATAGTAATTTGATTGAAAACAAGTTGAGCAGAGCAGGTGAAGGGAGAACACATTCTGTACAAGAAATCATTTCAGTTTGGTGTCATCTGGTGGCACCATCAAGAATGAAACCAAACTGAAAAGAAGAAAAGAAGGAAATGCACAACTAACGTATCTACATTTATAACAAATCATATTTGTTACTATATTTTCATGCATAATTTTTACATTCAATGAATGTGTAGGTTATATAAACTGCACATTTATTACATACATGTGCAGTGACATGGCAAAATGTTTCTTTTCTTTGCATGCAGAGAGCAAACTACATTGTTTACTTTCACACACCGGATAAAGAGATTTGCTAACATATGATGCTTTTGGCTTTTTCTTTCATTAGTTGTACTAATACAATGAGCGCACAGTTACCCATGTTTTAGTCACTTTAATTTATAAATTTATATCACATGCGGATTTCCTGAATTGTTGTGTGTGTGGGTGGGTGTTTGTATGTGTGTGTAGCTGTGCAAGTTTATGGGTTTATTAATAGTTCATCACCATTTCTGATAAAGGAAACTGAGGAAACCGAAGATCTAAAGAAGAAATCTAAAACACTTATCTTTCTGAGAAGCTGTGCGTCTTTCAGTCACCACTATGACTAAATTTTGCTGGGGTTTTCTTTAAGCTTGCTGTCTTTTGCCCCACATCACTTGACAAGCTTGTTTGAAGGTTTGAGGTAAAATTAAGGTAGATTGATTAATAGTCTGGCATGTCCTTGTGAAGCTAGCCAAACAAACATGTCTATATGTTAATGTGCCCCTCCCAAGCATGCTGTGCCAGAAATACATGGGGAAAACCAATTGACGGAGAATGGCTTCTTCTTTTTTTTTAACAGACTTATATGAGAACCACTCATCTGATGAACATCAACTCAGTAACACATTAACTCGAGACCCAAGAAATTCAGCTGCAAAGTTTGAAGCAGTTCAGATAAATGTTTGTTGACATAGGTGAGAAGAGATGGACAGACAGAAGGACAAGAGAGCTCTCAAATTCTTTACAAGATGTTGTATTTATACTTTGTTTTGCAGTTCACTGAATCCCTCTTTATATAATGAATGAGTCCAATCTTACTATGAGGACGCCAAAGTATGTGAGGTGGTTACAGGAACAGGTGATGTTAGTCTGACCACGTGTCCAGTGTGTGAGGCAGCCATCCTCACTAAAATCTGGTAAACAAAACAAACAGATCCATTATGCAAAAGATTAAATTTCTGAACATCAACTCAGTGTCGGGGCCCTGAGTGAAAACACAAACCCCAATGAGTCCAACTTATGAAAGAAATAGGTGTCTTGCTGCTCAGAAAAAGATTAAAGAAACACTTTAAAAACACATCAGATTTTGAGGGGGAAAAGAATCACGCTGGTTATCTATATCAACTGGGTGATGTGTTAAGAATGAACAGATCCCACATTTTTTGATAGAAAGGGAAATATAAACCTACAGTGGGTTGAATACCAATTCAAAATGGTACTCAGTAGTTCGCAGTGTTGGGCAAGTTACTTTGAAAAAGTAATTAATTATAGTTACTAGTTACTTCTCCAAAAAAGTTAGTAACTGTTAGTTAGTTAACATTTTTAACTACTCAAACTACTTTTGATTTTCCCTCCACATTTCACCTTTAAAAACTATTTACTTTGCCTTGTTTGGTATCATCCTTTTCAGCACAACCTCACGTGTCTGAATTTACAGTTATGTTTTCATTTTGACATACTGTATCAACACAATTGATCTAAAATCAGACAAAAAACGTAAAATCAGAGTAGAAAAAGTTACATTTTAACAACCACAAACATGTTTAATGAATGATATTTCAGAACTTTAAATGCAAATATAAATGATCAATTTTAAAATCCTATGCACAAGCTTTGCAAACAACAAATTCATCAATTTACCTTTTACCTTGATTTTTTTTAAATAACCATTTCAAACTATTTACAGAACAACCAGCTGTTCTGCATTCAATAAGATGCCACAAATTATTTGTTCCACTCCAAAAACACAATTTCTGTCCACTATAAAGGAGAACATCACAGCCTGATACCTGCAGGCCTGACAGCAGCAGGTGTATCACTCCTTTTTCTATTTGGAGACAGCAGTCGCCTCATTGTTCTGACACACAACACAAAACTATCCACATCACTACACACTAACTACACAAGACAACATATTAACTACACACTCCAAAGACGCTAAACGTCACAAATCTCTCACATCTCAAAACTCTCTCTCTCTCTTTTTCTGCTGTCTTTCTCTCTCTCGCTGTCTCTCTCGCTGGGTTGCTCAGAGGTCTCGCTGCGAAACTATTGAGGAAAAACACCGCGTATATATTGTTTATCATGACTCTGGTTTTACGTGGCCTATCAACGCAATTTATAAACTGGTATAAATCACCTTGTTGCTTTGTCTTTAAGTGGTCATGTGATTGGCTTACCACGGCTACTTTACTCTTCCTCAGTCAAACAGCAGCTCTCATGCGATTGTTTTGCCCCCTTAGCTCCAGGTGTTGTGCTAGACAGTGATCATGATCACCGTCCGCGGGAGCGCGCAGCTGCTTAAAGCTGTAGCGTCCAGATTACTTACGTAGTCAGCTACTTCCATGCAACTGATACAAGATGCGGTAAGCTGAACACAGCTTCAACTGTCTGTTTGTTGAAAAATAGTAACGGACCACATTTTCTTGTTAGTAACTGTAACAGCATTGTAACGATAGGAATAGTAATTAGTTTGATTACTCGTTACTGAAAAAAGTAACGCCATTAGTAACGCCGTTACTTGTAACGCCGTTATTCCCATCACTGGTAGTTCATATGTCCCCCACATGCTTCTGTGCTTGCCTGACAAAGCTGGGGCATGCTCCTAATGAGACTGTGGATGGTGTCCCTGGCGATCTCCTCCCAGATTTGGACAAAGGTATCAATGAGCCTACTTGAGGATGTCGGGTCTGCTGGAAGTCGTTTTGTAGGCCTCTATCTGTGCTCTTCATGTTCTTCCTTACACAAAGGGCACATGTGGTACTTATGGATTAAGGACCTTTAACAGTCTTGTCCAGCTCTCTTAAAGTAACCTCCTGTCTCCTAGAATCTCTTCTATGCTCTTGCGAAGTGTGATGGGAGACATAGCAGATTTTCTGGCAATGACATGTCTTGATGCGCCATCTTGGAGGAGTTTGACTGCCTCTGCAACCTTTGTAGGGTTCATGTATGTCCTCATGTTAACAGTAATGAGAATGATCCCAGTCAAATGCAAAACTAGTGAAAAAACAGAATAGATGAAGATGGAAAGCTATCGGTGTCCACCAACTGTAAAACCATTCTTTTTTGGGAGTTTGTCTCATTATTATCCATCTAGTACACCTGGTATTAATTTTATTAACGCCAAATTATCTACCCCCTCTGCTACTTAGCTGACCACACCTATAGCCCATAGGTTTAACTGACTTGATGCTGTACTCTGATTAAAAAATGTGTTCCTCTACTTATTTTTTGAGCAGTGTACATTACTGTTCATGACAGATGTGATGCTTGTTACTTACTGCATGTTGAATAATTAAGGAAATGACACGAGGGTTTTTGAGTTTCCTATGACACAAACATAGTTCATGTTTGTACAAAATGTACAGCATATTATATGTATCAGTTAATTATGCAATAAAGTAACAAGAGATAGAAATGAAATAAATGATCAAAAAAAGCATAGTTACGTCGATTTTCTTGGTAAACTCCATCGTGATGTTGATGCGCTCCTGCAGTCCTGATATCTCCTTGTTCTGCACACTCAGACCAACCAGTCTTTGATCATATACTTCATGTGGGCTTTCAAAAATGCTCTACAATAAAATGCAAATTTGTCAGCTGGTTTAACAATTTTGCAAAGACAGTTTTAATATTAGTTTCGGGGGAAAAAACACACTACTCAATGATCTAGATGCACTGTTTGATATTCAAATAATTTACATTTAGTTAAAAATGAGATTTTTCTTTCCTTGTGTACCCAGCTTCCTTCAAAAATATGTGTACTAATTTACATTTTATTAATCAATAAAAGGTCAACACATAATAAATACAGAGGCTAACAAGGGAATACATAACAGAAGGGAGACACAGTTGAACCTAATCTGACAAACAAGACGGGGAGGAAGCAAAACAGAATACTCTAACCCGGGACACAGGACTGTCAAAATAAACCAGGAAATACACAAAAATAGAGACAAGGATGACTAGAAACACACAAGGGAAACAAAGGAGGCACAGTAACAAAACCTAAAGACTAGAAATCACCAAAAACACTAAAGAATTACTAAATTAGCTAGAAATACATATTTCCTAACATCCATCCATCCATCCATTCGCTTCCGCTCATCCTTTTCAGGGTCGCGGGGGGCGCTGGAGCCTATCCCAGCTGTCATAGGGCGAAAGGCAGGGTACACCCTGGACAGGTCGCCAGTCTGTCGCAGGGCTAACACATAGGGACAGACAACCATTCACACTCACATTCACACCTAGTGACAATTTGGATTAATCAATTAACCTATCCCCACAAGTTGCATGTCTTTGGACGGTGGGAGGAAGCCGGAGTACCCGGAGAGAACCCACGCAAACACGGGGAGAACATGCAAACTCCACACAGAAAGACCCTGGCCTGATGGTGGAATTGAACTCAGGACCTTCTTGCTGTGCGGCAACAGTGCTAACCACCGTGCCACCGTGCTATTTCCTAACAAGTGGTAAAAATAAGAAAAAAATATAACCTGAAATCCAAATGTTATTGCATTAGACTAAAACGAGGAAAACCTCGCGGTAGTTTAAATTTAATGTGTAAATGCAAAATTGGCTAAAATCCTATTGTTCTATAGCTCACCAAATCCTTTTCCTACATATTGTTATATAAGAAAATGTAGTTTATGACCTCGTTCATTTTAGGCCATTTAAACATGCAGAACACAATCTTGTTATTCGGTCCAGCATCCAGTTCTCTTGGCAGCTGGACAAGGACTTTACTGTTGAGAAGAGGCACATCTGGTGTTACCTGTATCAGCATCAACATGCCAAGAACAGAAAGAAAACAACTGCATGTGAATAGCAGTAACATAATGCAACTCTTGCAACTGACATTGTAAATAAAATACATTGATGTCATGGTGTTGCTGTTTGGAAAGTGAACTGAATTTAAAAGTTCATTTTCCCAACTTTTTCACAAAAAGTATAATAAAATGTAAAATATAATATTTTATAAGAAATATAATAATTATAATATAAAACTATAATGTTGATAACTATCCAGACCTTAATCTGCACATAAACTAATGCCCACAGGCTTCAGTGAAATAAACAATGTGTAAAGAAAAGTGGGCTGAATTTTTCTTCACTTCCTTGCACACAGATTTGAGCTGACAAATAGAAATGGAGTAAAACACTCAAGGTAATGCCAAGACGTTGTCATAAATTTAATAAAAGCTTTCCTAGTTTGACGTTTATTTCCATTATTTCCTTTTTTACAAAGAGTTAATTACCTGTTCGAGGTAATTAAGTTCCCCATAATTACCTTGAACAGAACATTAGACTTATTACAATGTATCAGACCTTAAAAAAGCAGGTCCTAACCAATATCTGACCCAACCTCAAAATTGGATCCAAATATCAGCTCAGTAGTTGGTAGGTATTTCTGGCTACACTTTGAGTCTGACTACAAACCATTGTTCAATAGGATCATGTGATGTTCTTTTTTTTTTACCTGTGTGTCATCAGCATAAATTTTAAGGCCTCCAAAGGTATCATTGGGTTTGTGCAGAAGCGCCACAAAAGTTTTGACACACACTTGCATGCTCACATTCACCTCTGTTCTCTCTAGAACACTTTCTAGAGTCCTAATGGCTCTTGGGGAGGAGGATAGGAAAATATTAACAATATTAATGATTTACATCCTTTAATTAATGTAATTTTTTTTTCAAAATAATTAATAAACACAAAAAAACCACACAAATTTGAAATCTTGTTTTAAATACTGAAAATTTTGTGTAATAATTAAAATGTTTACGTCATAGCGTCAGTGCGGTTTCCAGTTCTCAAAACCTTGTCTGTATAATCCATACAACACTCTGTATGATTACGACCTGTAGAGAAAATGTAAGAACACACATTTTACCCTTGTACAATTAAACCACCCACATGTCCCCAGAATGTATGAAAGTTTAATCTTAAAACATTATACAATTTCATATTTCGTTATGAAGACATTTATAGGGGAATGGAGATGTGAGAAGCAGAGTTGAAAGGTTCATTTTTAAATGCAATATCACCATGTAAGAAAAATGGCTGTTCAAAACCAGTTATAGTATATAAAACATGAATTCCAGAAAAGTAGGGATGTTCGTTAAATTTTGACAAAGATGAGAACCAAAAGACTTTCAAATCACGCAAGCTAATATTTTATTTACAACAAAACATAAATAATAGATGTCTGAACTGAGAAATTTTACATTTCAAACTTGATGCTTGATACAGGTCACAAACAATGGCTGAATAGCAAGAAAGATCAAAACGTTTCAGCTGGGAGAACATCTAGCAGGTAACACGATAAGCTATAAAACGGATGTCTTACAGAGAGCCAGAGTCTCTCAGAAGAAAAGATGGGCAGCGGCTCTTCAGTCTGTGAAAGAGTACCTTAAAAGATCGTGGAATACTTCAAATGTTCCTCAACATCATCATCTGCAATGCATGACATCATCAAAAGATTCAGAGAAACTGGAGATGCGTCTGTAACCATTTACACTGAAGGTGCTACAGTCTCTGTGCATAAAGGACAAGGCTGAAAATTTTTATTAAATGCCCGTGGTCTTCGGGCCCTCAGACAACACTGCATCATTCATCGGCATGATTGTGTCACTGACATTACTAAGGGGCCCAGGAAACCACTGTCAATGAGCACAATCTGATATGATATCTGCAGATACTAACTAAAGCTCTGTCATGCAAAAAGGAAGCCATGTTTGAACATGATCGAGAGGCGGCGTCATATCTGTGAAATGTACTGTTTCAAAATGGAAACGTTTTCTATGGCCAGACGAGTCCAGATTTGACATAGTTGGTAATCACAGACGTCTCATCCTCCAGGCTAAAGAGTGGGAGACATTCCAGCGTGTTATCAGCTTTCAATTCAAAAGTCAGCATCTTTGATGATATGTGTTGGAATAAATGCATTCAGTATGGGCAACTTGCGTGTTTTGGAAGAAACAGTGAATGTTGAAAGGTTTTGGACCACCTTCTATTCGGGTTAGCATTGGAGCCACTTGTTGGGTGGCGGGAGTGGAGGGCATCACCAGTGACACTGGAACTGTCATCTGCAATATGTTCTTTTTTCTGTATATAAACAAAATCCTCATAAAAGGATTTATAAAATAAAATACATAAAGGTTTTAGAGCAACATATGATCCCTTCCAGAGTACATCTGTTTCAGGGAAGGCCTTTTGTATTTCAGCAGGAAATTGCAAAACCACATACTGCCACTATTACAACAGCATTGCTTCATCGGAGAAGAGTCTGGGTGCTGAATTGCTATGCTTGCTTTCCAAATCTTTCACCTATAGAGGTGCATCATTAAATGAAAACTACATCAAACAAATTCCCACACCAAAACCCTAGAAACTCAAAACCTTGATGCCCAGACGTCTTCAAAATGTTTTGAAAAGAAGAGCAGATGCTACACTATTGTAAACATGTCCTGTAGCAAGCATCAAATTTAAAATGAGCTAATTTTGTGCTTAAAATTGAAAAATGTCTCATTTTAAACATCTATTGTGTTATTTCTGTTCTGTTCTGAATAAAATATTGGCTCATGTGATTTGAAAGTGTTTTAGCTTATTTATTAAACTAAAACACTTGAAGAAATTTAAACTTAAAGAAATTTAAAGAACATTTAAATGAGGATTGAATCCTTTCTTCTAAAGTGTAGTAAAGTGATTTAAAGGGACATAACATTTTATGTCTGACATTTTAGGGCTGTGGTAGAATAGAAGAGGAGGAGTAGGAGTAGGAGAGAAATAAACACATGTAGCTAAAAGACTGACAGAAAACAAGCCGAGTTTATATAAACTCATAAAAGGCAAAAGGAAAAGTAAATAACTCACACCCCTTGTTTCTTGGGTTAGAATCTAAATTGTCTGCTGTCCCCAGATTTAAGTAATTATTTTATTTTACAGCAGTTAACAACTTACCTATGTTAGATGTTATATTGCACATAGTCTCACAGGAACCCTGTCCTGACACCCAATTCTCATAAAGCATTTCATAAGACACAAAAGACATCAGCCACCAGAATATCCAGCTCTTCTTCCTGTGAAGAGACTCACATTTAGAATGAAAAAAAAAATCTATGCTTTTCCGTCAAATGTTGTCAAAGTTCCTTTCAGATTTAAATTAGTTGATTCATTTAGATTAGCATTATTTTACAAAGCTATTCAAGCATTATGTTATTTGTCTTTTTTTATTTTGTTGCCATTATGATGAAGGTAGACAGAAAATCAATCCCACTGCATTTAAGGTTTCTAATTGATTAAAAACGGTAATTTGATTGTACAGTACGGGGAATGAAAAAGTGTTATGTTTTACTGTCTCACAGAATGTATGATTGGATAAAGGGATTTAAGTTGGTACTGAGCCATATAACCATATAACTGAGCCACAAGAGGAGGTCTCGGTGGATGGAGGGGTCATCAAACCTTTGGAAACTGCCCTCGCTCCTGTTTCAAACTGAAAGTCAATGTTCCTTTGATGTATGGCCATCCCATACCCTTAACTATATGTTTATTCTTAATTCTTTATTGTTTTCATTCTTAAATATTAGTAATACTTTTGCATTTCCACTAAAAGTAGGTGTAATAATTCAAGGAATGTTCCCACATCTTATATTCAAAAGACAGGGGCAAACCACCTATTACTGTTCAGATTGGAATGCAGCATGAGTAATGAATGCAGTGGTAATGTAACAGACCAGAATTTATTACATGTTATCAGTATCAACACTGTTTATAACCATTCAGCAAAATGATTGTAAATGAGTAACAGGTTCAGATGTTCAAATTCCTCTAACTGGACACATGTGAGTGTTAGGTGCGGCTGTGTGCAAACAGGAAAAGGACCCAAGGTGCAGACTCCAGAGACAGATGTAAACTCAAAAACCGTTTTAATG